TGATGCTGCTGCTGGTGCTGCTGCTGCTGCTACTACTACTACTACTACTACTACTACTACTACTGCTACTACTACTACTACTACTACTACTACTACTACTACTACTACTACTACTACTACTATTACTACTACTACTACTAATACTAATACTACTACTACCACCACTGCTACTGCTACTGTTTCTGCTGCTGCTACTACCATCACCACCATAACAACATCATCAACTACTACTTCTACTGCTGCCACTGCTACTGCTGCTGCTGCTGCTGCTGTTTATAATACTACTGCTGCTGCTACAACTGCTGCTACTACCTCTACGAGTACTACTACTGCTGCTACAGCTGCGGCTGCTACTACCTCTACGAGTACTACTACTGCTGCTACAGCTCCGATCAAGCATGTTGTAACATTTGACTAATTAAGAGTATTTCTTTACAAGTTCAAGTGTATCTGCATGAGAGACTAGAAACGAACCGTCTGTATATAAATAAGATAAAACTGCACACAAACTCAAGTGCTGGAGGAAGACTAAATTCCAGAAGTGGACGAACAACCAAATCTTTCCACCGGAGATTACAGCCGTTAAACGCCAAGAATTGCTGCTTCCAGATAAGTAGCTTCTGCTACTGAATTTAAAAAAAAAATGTCAATGAAACTACTTGAGGACAACTAATACTAGCTAGCTGCAATCGCACCTGTTTGCAAACCCAAAGCGTAAATTAGGACCAAAATTGAAGTAAGGGAGATAATCAAATTTTATCTTTCTCTTTGTAGTAATTATCAAGACTTATTAACCTTGTCCGTGATAAACAAAGGGATATGATCAAATCAATGTTTCCCCGTTGTAAATTGACGTTTGAAGGATTTAAAATGATTTGTCTTTAGTCACCACGTGTCCAGATTTTAGAAGATGGCGTGCTGTTGCAGAGGGGTGATTTTTGCGGGCCAGTATTCTAATTTTGAATATTATTTTGCATCAATATTATTCAACCAATAGAAGATTTCTCGAAGCTTCCGCGATTTATTCCTTACTTACGTCCTTTTCAGGACGTAATTTTTTTCTTATTTGAAACCCCACTACGGCTTTTGCCAGGGGCCGCAATATAGGCAGGCCATCAATATGGCCAATTGTCTGAACGTGGTTTCTGGGACCTCTCCACGGTGATCCTCATCCCCATGGTGGCACTTTGTGTCATCGGGTGTTTATCGCTTGTGTGATGTCCTGGTGGGGTAGAAAGTCAGTCAGTCAGTCCGCGATTCGTCACCTGAGCCCGGAATTCTGTATTCAGAAAGAGATGGTTCTTTCTTTACGGCTGCCCTGGTACAAACAGGCAGTCATGCTGTGTTCATGCTGTGTTTGATCCTTGTTGAAATTGTACTTCAGTTATAAAGGATTCACTTATTTGCTTCATTTATGAATTGTTACTGTAGTATGCACCTGACGAGATACAGCGAAATATGCCAGGCAATAAATTGTGCAAACTATTGTTTGTGTCTTCTTTGTTCAATGGGAGATGAATTAAATCACGTTTCTCATTCATGAATTGTTTCGTATTTAGTTTTGATGGGTGTGTTTTTTTAGCGTCAAGAAGGGAAGAAACAAGACACCTTGGTCATGTAGATTTGTTGTAAACTATACATGCCTGTCCTTGCATGAATAAGATGTAACTTACATCTAGCAGGTGTAGCTGATACGAATACCCCAATTATACAAGATTGTTTCATACTCAAAAGTTGAACCAGGCATCTGTGATCAAAAAATTATTTTATTAAGTCGTTCCCATGTGGAATGCAATTTTTTGTTATTTGAAGCCCCACCCTGGCTACTGCAAAGGGCTCTGAATATAGCTGAGGCATAGATATTGCCTAGCCATTTATTTAGCCTAACGACTGAAAGGGGTTTTTGGGACCTCTCCACTGATGATCCTCATCCGCACAGTGGCACTTTGTGTCACCGGGTGTTTATCGCTTGTGTGATATCCCGGTGGGGTACATCTACCTACCTACCTACCTACCTACCTACCTACCTACCTACCTCTGTGATCTATTTTAATATCGGATGCAATTTTTAGTTATTTCGAAGCAGAACCCTGGCTTTTGTCTGGGGTTCCCAAATATAGCCTAAATATGGCCTAACGTCATCAGCATGGGGACACTTTGTGTCACCGGGTGTTTATCGCTTGTGTAATGTCTTGGTGGAGTACAACTTAATTACCTACCTGTGATTTACATTGTGATTCTCGGATTTTAAATATCAGGGCTATTTACTTTATTTGTAGGTAGCAGACGGAGGAGACAATTTTATAGATCGATCGATAACCATCCATTCATTGATCTAACAAAAGTCACCCATAAAGCTCACAGTTTACTTTATAAACACCAGCTTTTATCAGATGTTTAAACGCGATGGGAACATTCTTCTCCTTCTAAGAAAATAGCAAAATACCCGCACATGACTACATATTACACCGGGCTAGTGTCACTGTCTCGGGTACTATCGTTATAAGTTCCATGGAAGTTTCGGCTCGTCTTGTTGGTCTGCCACCAGGTCGGAGATTTTCACGGTGTCAGACTTTCTTGTTTCGTTGGTCTGTCATCAGACCGGAGATTTTCACGGTGTCACACATTTTGGTCAAGTTTGTCTGCCATCAGACCGGAGATTTTCACGGTGTCAAACTTTTAGGTCCCGTTGGTCTGCCATTAGGACGGAGATTTCCATATTGTCAGACTTTCAGGTTCCGTTGGTCTGCTATCAGGCCGGCGATTTTCACGGTGTCAGACTTTCAGGTACCGTTGGTTTGTCATCCAGATTGAATTCTTCTGATCTTAGAGTATTGAACTGTCCAGGCAACATCACAGAGCCTAAACGGTATACGAACACACTATCCATTACAGAATAACCAGCACGTCTGACAGCCTACTATGTGGTCTGTTCTCCCTTCCAGGAGCGGAAAACTTTTGCTATGGCAAATCTGACCTCGTCTCGGAGCAAATTTTCTACGCCTTCAGACACTGTGTGCATATTGGGCTAGATCTATTTTTGATGGACCAGTCAGGTTATGTACTGGGCTAGATCTATTTTTGATAGACCAATCATGTGATGAACTGGGCTAGACCTATTTGTGATTGGCCAATCAGGCGTTGTACTGGGCTAGACCTATTTTTGATTAACCAATCAGCTGGTGTCCCTACTGGGAGGGGCAAAGGAAGACATACAGTCACGTCTGAACAAAGCTAGAGCTGATTTTGGAAGGATGAGGCAAATCTGGAAATCCAACAGTTACTGCTGAGGAACAAAACTCCGACTCTACAAGAGCATCATTTTTCCAGTTCTTCTTTATGGAACAGAATGCTGGAGAATGACCAAAAAGGATGTACTCAAGCTGTCCACCTCCCACCACACATGTCTACGTAGAATTGTCAAAATTTTCTTGCCGGATACAATCTCAAACACTAAACTACTTCGTCACAAACCAAGAAACTTTAGACCTTATGATAACCAAGAACAGATGGAAATGACTTGGCCACGTTATGAGAATGAATCCTGATATACCTGCCAAAACAGCTCTCACATAGACACCAGAGGGAAAGAGAAAAAAAGAGCGCCCCAAAACAACATGGAGACGAACGATGGAAAGTGACCTGAGTGTGACATCTTTGACATGGAAAACTGCACTGAAGATCGCACAGGACAGGAAAGCATGGAAAGTCCTCTCTGAAGCCTCATGTGCCACTAGGCATAACGAGAACTGATGAATCAGCTGATGTAGACAGCATCACGATGGCCACCATTACTACCCAGAATTGTACGTGCCGATACATTTTCCAAGAATAAAGGTTGCCAAAGTAACACTGACTTCATCACCGATCGAATTCCGATAATTATTAAGATGTAAGACTAACCATAATACAAGTCCTTGTAGCTGGTCCCTTGATTGTCATCCCCAAGCTCTTGGGTTCGATTACTGCAACAGTAATGTTTTTGACTACACCACCAGGCCTTGTAGGAGCCTTCGTGGTGCTGTGGCTAGACTCTCGCCTGTGGATCAGAAGGTGGTAGATTCAGGTCATGACGCAACTTCACTTTGTTAAAACAAAATGACTTTGGCTCCTAGATGGACCTAGCCTGAAGTGGGTACCAGACACAAACCCTAGAAAGTAAAGGCGACTAGTTTGATGTTGACCACTTCAGCCAACGAGCGCAGAATGGTCTGTAATGTAAAGGTCTAGCCCCTATATACCCAACACGTCTGAAGGCGTGCAGAAGGGTCTTATGGTTGACTTTAATATGCCTTGTTATTTAGATTTAAGACAGACACTCAAATGCTGGATTTGACTTCTAGTTTTGATGCTACACATAAGAAGTAGTTTTATAAAAGTGATGTTTTTATAGAAGTGATGGTTTTACAGACGTGATGGTTTCACAGAAGAATGTTTATAATTCCCTGAATTGCCAAAAGAAAGCAGCCTGATATTTTAAAAGGGGCAAAGACCTGAACAAACGCATATCGCGATTATGGGAGACAGGAGGGAAACGGCGCACACATACAATTTAACGTTTCTACCAAAGTCTTTATCAACGACTTAAACGACAAGAAGAACTAATGATACGAATTAAACAGGGTTGTCACGTAGACAAATAAACACCCACCCTTCATTTAGTTTGCTTGTCATAGTTTGTGTGTGATGAATTCCCTTCTTCCGACTAAGGACAGCGCATGTAAAACTGAAATGTGTCCCTGCATCTGGCACCGGGAAATTCTGAGCATGTACTCCAACAGTGTAAACGACCAGCTGTTAACAGAGCAGTCATCCTAATGAAAGCATCAAAATCAACATGGAGGCTATGACTTGACGATAGTTTTATTGATAGTCTTCAATAAGACTTGTGCCTCCTGACACAAGTTTTCTGAGAAAATAATAGAGAAGAAGGTACAATAATGTATTTACTATACGTAGTAAACAAAATGATTTATATGCTTTATGTCAACAATATGCCCCTACAATTGAGGGGAATCTTTACATGGGCCCTTAGAGATGACCTTGACGAACCCACACGACTGCTTGTACATGGCGCAGGAGTTTTTGTATGTATGTCCGTCGCTGCCACAGACTGGGCTGTTGGCTTGGAAACATTGAGGTTTGACTGGACAGGGGTCTTCATGTTCTTCGTCTTGTCCCAGTGCTGGAATAGATCACAAGTATATTAGTGGCTGATACGTAAAGGGAAACTTACGAATGTTGAATTAGGAATCGGGATACTTCCAGAAGCGCTCCGTCTGATTGTATATCCGTCTCGCCTTTACTTTGAATTATGAGCCTTGGCTAGATCACCTTGTTACTCATAGAAGAACAATTCTTCTCAGACCATGATGATCGGTGTCTGCTTCAGCATGGTTCACTGGCTCCCACAGGACCTTACAATATTTAGTAAACGTAAATGACATTTGTTTTTTTAAACTAATGTGGCACACCACGCATAAAATGCATGACTTTTTTCTCTCCATTTTAATAGACTAGACCTGTGTTTCCCAAACTGTTCTTAGTCGCGGCACATTTTTTCAATTAAAATATTTCCACGGCGCCCTAACCTACGTAAAAGTATGGCTATTCGTATGTAAGAGATTTAAAAAAAAAATCGTGCATCTTCGAATATTTCGCGGCGAACCTGTGAAGAGGTCGCGGCTCCTTGGGGCGCCGCGGTGCACAGTTTGGGAATCACTGGACTAGACACGGGTAACAAAAACTGGGTCGTGTGGTTTCAGGCATCCTCAATTAGCAGGTCCACTATAGAACGTCTCTTTCGCCAGTGAGCTGTGACCTGTCGAAAGTCTGTCTTTGTTTAGCCAGATCTCCACTTGTATCCACTTTCGCAGAGGTCTGTCTCTACATCGCTTTCCTGAAAGTGTCCCCTCCATCAGCGTTCTCTCCAGGCCACAGTGAGGTTTAACATGACCACAGTAGCTCAACTTTTGGACCAGGTTGCTGTTCGTGTTGAGAAACGCTAGGCAAGCAATGAAAATCAAGACAAGGAAATAATGTGACTAGTGTGTTACTGCAAGCTTTGATCGTATACCGAGATATTTTAAATATTATTTACAACACATTTCTAAACCGTGATGGCGCAGTGGTTAGCACCAATACTTCGTATGCTAGTAGTGGATTCACATCCTAGTTTAAAACCGACCGATTTTGATTTATCTTAACATTTCCTGGCATCCATTTAATTCCGGGTCCACTTGAGTGAAATACAAATCTCCATCTTGGTGAGAAGTCGAACACCTCACCACAGATTCAGTAGCCAAGAATGTTAACTACTGCGCCACCACTGCAGTGGGTCTCTTTTCCCCTCCACCTCCAGTGAGGACCCAGAGCCAACACGGCGAATTTCATAATTGTGATTTCAGGTGAATGATTACCACCCAAGAAAAAAAAAAAAACAACATTACTTGCATGTATTTTTTTAGAACGACAAAAACAAACTAGAACACTTATTGGTATGCCTGAACTAAGCAAATGTAAAAATTTGTTAGCCAATACTCTCTCAGCGGTACGACGCTCATGTCCTTGTCAAAGATATCTCGAAAACGTCTTGTCACAAATCGCCCCAGCTTACTTTTAACCGTGAAATGACGGAACTGTGAAACTGCAAATGTATGGGAGGCTAATTAAGACAACATTGTTTTCTCAACCTATACATCCACATCTCTCACCTACAGTATAATTGTTCCCTACAAAATAATGTAGACTGACTACGTTCTCTTCGATTTAATTAACACGGTAAATTAACACATAGATAACCCTTACAGGTAGTACTGGGCACATACAGTTAGATCTATACTTTTCACCCCAGTCAGCGGGAGAGGGGGGGGGAGGGGGTGATATGGTCAACACCACGCCGGCCGCCTCGACTTCCCAAGACTCTACCTGCTACCTACTCAAGGCAAGTCGAGACTTGATCCTTCAAATCCATAGGCGAGGATCTGGTCACAATACTATGGTGGCTCGCTTAGCAACCTTAAGGACAACATTAAATATCGTTAAACGAACTAGGTAACTTCGGAGTTCAAACTTACCCAGCACAATAAAATGTATCAGAAATAACCTGAACGAAAAAATTCTAAACATGTTTGTTTCTCAGTCACGTACTGGGCGAGAGAAGAAGCCTTACTGCAGTAATGTTGCAACATTTTGGCACATATTTATATATGTGGGGGGAAAAATACAACAATACAATATGCCATTGTGGATGTGTACGTGCGAAAAAGAAAACTGAGGTACGAACACATAAATGCACGTTGTCAAGTAGATGACACCTACCCTTGTTTGGCATTCAAGTAAAAAGTAATGTATGTGTGTTACCAATGAATCACTGATGTGGAGCTATACCACTAGCTAGACCCACTAATGTGGGATAGAACTAAACACATTTTAGTGTCTCAAGAGATGAGAAAACGGCACTGGAAAACATAAACATTTGAGAAAACGCAAACAGTTTAATTAGTTCAAAACATTTATTTCCTGTTGTATTCCCCGTTTTAAATTTAAATAAATAACGAGGACACAAACAATACATGTAATGTTTGTGTCCGCGTTTTTTGTTGGATATTGAATGTTAAATTAGGAATCGAGATCACAGCACTGGAGACACCCCCATAAGCGCTCAGTCCCCATCTTCAGCAGCAAGCGAAGAGTTAAAATTCCGATGGTACCAGTAACTGTCTGATTATGTATCCGTCTCGCCTTTCCCTTGAGTGTCAAGCATCGGCCAGATCCCCTTTGTAACTCCTCGCAGTGCCATTCTCCTAGGACCCTAATGGTCAGTTTGTTCTTAGACACCGTTCATTCACTCCCAAAGGACCCTCCCAACATCCATACATCAGTTCACCGCCAAATTGTGTAGAACCGGCCAATCTATCTGCCTGCTCATTTCCTAACACGCCGGCATCATCTGGAGACAATATCCAAAGGACGCTTACTACCCATGACCTCTGAAGTGATGGTTTGCCTTATTTAAATTGAATTAGTGTCCTTGCACTGGACACCACAGGGTCAAGAGAATAGCGGCAATTTAAAAAAGAACTTTCGTTTTAGTTCACCCCAAAGAGTGGGAACGCTAGAATCCCTGGAAAAGTCCATTGTTACAGGAGGGTTAGGGTTAGTCGGTGTTAATTTCAACTGTAGAACCCAGATAATATTAGACTTTTCCCGGCAATCCTAGGTTCCCTGTGTTTGGGGTGTGCTGAAATGAAAGAATGAAAGATGGCGCGGGATGCTGGTGGAAGTGAAGGATGGACATATGCATTGAGTAATCTGCAGAAGATAGCAAAAGCTAGGACATTTTGAGGAGATCCGGTTAAAGATCCGTGCTCTATTAGAAGACAAAAAGGAGAAGAAGGTGAATCTGTTTACCACAGGCGTAGTAAGACACTGTGATACAGTTTGAAAACCACCCAGTTCGGCCCTGTTTATTTCATAACCACGCCAGTTGGTTCCTTCCAGTTTCTCCGTTTTATTGGCCACTTTTTGAAACACCGATAGTAATGTGAAGGTTTTGTTTTTTAATTTTTCTTGTGCGTTTTTTACAGGATTGCATTCTGTAAGATTTAAAATCTCAAGGATAAGAATCAAACGGGTATAAATCCTGGAAACCCTGTTAAACATTATAGCCAAATATCACAATTATATTCGGCAAAAAAAAAAAAAAAAATAGAAAAAGAAAAAAAAAAAAAACGGTTACCAAACAAGCTGTAGTCAAGTGTGGGTGGCTGTGTATATATAAAAGTTCCCAATTGTACGTGCCGGTATACTAGGACAGGGGCTAATTCAGGTCAAGATTTATCTACAGCTCTTCGTGCTTTTTCTAGAATTAGGTTCCTATCCAATGCCTGGCCGACGTAAATAGGATCGGGGTTTCATCAAAATCGGAGTGCCTGAGGCAGGAAACCAACAGTCTGTACATAAATGTGTCAGATCTGTAAAACGAATGTACATGCAATGCGCAAGAGCTGGAACAAGATTAAAGTCAGGAAGTGCACAAACAGCCAAGACTTTCCAACAGAGTTTACAGCCGATTAACGTGAAAAGGTAGACCAAACTACATCAGTCATTATTTTCTTCATTATGTACATTTAACACTAAGGCCACATTTCTAATGGCAGCCATTAAGTTAATATATGCACAATATTAGTTCATTGGCTCTCTTGTATATACACTCCGACTTCGAAGGGAAAATCCCTAATTAGTTGTCTTTTACGACATAAATGATATGGGCGAGTTTTTTACCCCCCCCCCCCCCCCCTGTTTTGGCATCTTCCATAATGGAGACCCAGAATCAACACAAGGATTGGTTACTATATTGGTGATTCCTCCTACGTTTTTCCGTACAGAGATGGAAGCCTTGGTAGATGTCAACGACCTTCTTTCTTCTATACTAAGTGGGGCTCGTGTTGCAGGCGGGTAACAGATAAATCTACCCCCCCCCCCCCTTAAAAAAACCACACACAATACGCCGAACATACACAATCTTGTATGTACAAAGGTCATTAAAATTTGGAATAAGCCGCAAAAGTTGCAGGTACCCCTTTTCCGAAATCGTGCTAGCTTTACAAACCCCTAGTCACGCCTTACCATTCCTGTGGATAAGCACAGGGCACAAAACCACCCCACTCTCGTACAGCGCTGTCCAAGCCATTGTCCCTGACATGAGGGTTCTAAGGCGCGCACGTGAACAATTCTAACCCACACAATAATGCTACGAGACCAGATAACGTCGTCAAATACCGTACGAAACAAAATAATGGTTCAGTCTATCCAAAACACACACCTAATATTCATTACATTAGTGGGTAACATGGTACGCTCTCACCGCCACTTTAAGATGTCACTATTGCAAAGTCTGGCAAAATGCCTCAACCCGGTCTTTTCCTAAGCAGAGCTTTTGTCTCTCTTGACCGTCTGTTCACTCTGACTTCGGAGTGCCAGTGAAGCCACGCGTTCAGCTCAATCGCCACGACTTATCCCGTGGTCGGTCTGTCATGGTCCCTTCAGTTCATGTCTGGATCACCTCGTACAGACACAAAGATTCATCATCATATGTTCTCATCATATAGCCGAAATGGCATCTGACACTGGAGTAAAGGCCAAAAGCTTGCACCTCAACAGGAA